GTACTAGTCTTACATTCCCACCAACAGTGTAAGAGGGTTCCTTTTTCCCCGCATCCTCGCCAACACCTGTTGTTGGTGGTGTTGCTGATGATGGCTATTCTAACAGGGGTGAGGTGGAATCTTAGTGTGGTTTTAATTTGCATTTCCTTTATTGCTAGAGATGGTGAGCATTTTTTCATGTGTTTTTGGCCATTTGAATTTCTTCTTTTGAGAAAGTTCTGTTTAGTTCACTGCCCATTTCTTTATTGGTTCATTAGTTTTGGGAGAATTTAGTTTTTTAAGTTCCCTGTATATTCTGGTTATCAGTCCTTTGTCTGATGTATAATGGCAAATATTTTCTCCCACTCTGTGGGTGTTCTCTTCAGTTTAGAGACCAATTCTTTGATGAACAGAAGCTTTTTTAGTTTTATGAGGTCCCATTTATCTATGCTATCTCTTAGTTGCTGTGCTGCTGGGGTTTCATTGAGAAAGTTCTTACCTATACCTACTAACTCCAGAGTATTTCCTACTCTTTCTTGTATCAACTTAAGAGTTTGGGGTCTGATATTAAGTTGAGGATACTTTTTAATCCATGTCAATGAGTTCTAGTCACAGCTCTCCATCCTTAGGAGTTCTACTGGGATGAAGTCACAGTCCACTTCCATGGAGTCATTCCTAACTGCAGCAATGGTGGCCTGAGCAGCAGCCCAGTGTTCTTTCCCCATCTCAGGTGCCCACTGAAATTCTCCACAGGCTCCCTCTCATCTTTGGGTCTCTCTGTGCCTTTGCATGCATTTAGTTTCCCCTGGAAAGTTCCTGCGAGACTGAATCCTCTTCATAGGTCCACCTCCCATACACCCACCCTTCTTTTTGAAAATCCATAATGACTAAACTCTTTCTACCTGTACTCTGGATATTTATACATGCCTTTATCACTCTGATTGGAGAATATGCTTGAAAGAGCAGGGTCTATATCCTAACTCAATTTTCTCTCCGCCAAAAGGCTTATTAACTATTTTAAATGATTATTGGCCAAGAAAATAAAACAGAACCAAGGATAAATTTCAGCCCTATGCTCAGGTTCCTCTTTTCTGCCTCAAAATATTCCTGACTAGCAGATGTGTTCATGCCTCTGCTCCCTTGTCTCAGGTACAGTACTCCCAAACAGAACTCCTGGCAGCAGCCTGGCTTGACCTGCCAGCCCCAGGCTCTGCTCAGCTGGGGTGCGCAGCAGCAAAGGATAGACAACCCGGCAGGATCTGGAGCTTTCCAAGCTCTCTCTTTTTTAAAAAATTTTTAATTTTATTCATATGTGCATACAATGTTTGGGTCATTTCTCCCCCCTTCTCCCCGCCCCCTCGCTACCCGGCAGAAACTATTTTCCCTTATCTCCAATTTTGTTGAAGAGAGAGTATAAGCAATAATAGGAAGGACCAAGGGTTTTTGCTAGTTGAGATAAGGATAGATATACAGGGAGTTGACTTGCATTGGTTTCCTGTGCATGTGTGTTACCTTCTAAGTTAATTCTTCTCAAACTAACCTTTTCTCTAGTTCCTGGTCCCCTTCTCCTATTGGCCTCAGTTGCTTTAAAGTATCTGCTTTAGTTTCTCTGCATTGAGGGCAATCCAAATGCTATCTAGTTTTTTGGGTGTCTTACCTATCCTCATACCTTCCTTGTGTGCTCTCGCTTTATCATGTGATCAAAGTCCAATCCCCTTGTTGTGTTTGCCCTTGATCTAATGTCCACATATGAGGGAGAACATACAATTTTTGGTCTTTTTGGCCAGGCTAACCTCACTCAGAATGATGTTCTCCTATTCCATCCATTTACCAGCGAATGATAACATTTTATTCTTCTTCACGGCTGCATAAAATTCCATTGTGTATCAATACCACATTTTCTTGATCCATTCGTCAGTAGTGGGGCATCTTGGCTGTTACCATAACTTGGCTATTGTGAATAGTGCTGCAATAAACATGGGTGTGCAGGTGCCTCTGGAGTAACCTGTGTCACAGTCTTTTGGGTATATCCCCAAGAGTGGTATTGCTGGATCAAATAGTAGATCAATGTTTAGATTTTTAAGTAGCCTCCAAATTTTTTTCCAGAGTGGTTCTACTAGTCTCTCTTAAAGCCACAATCTCCGCCACTGCCGCTGCCGCCACTCCGCATCCCTCTGGGTCCTGGCCAAGGGCTGCCCTGTGACAGAAGTGCCCCGGTGCCCTGATACATGAATTTAACTATTAAAAAGTTCTTTAAAATTATATATTAATACTGCTACTGAGTTTACCAAATTCCACCCTTCAATTTATAATTATTTCTATAAATTACACCTTTTGCCCTTGCAAATGTCACGCCCTAATCAGCTTCTAGAGAAGCTGGGTAGATACCCAAAAGTTCTGAGATACAGATAAAGCAAGAGTTGTCAGGCTGTCAAATCTCTAGGTAATAAAATATAATTTCCTCCATTTTCAATTTTTTTATTATTAACTTTTCTTATTCAGCTTGGAAATAGCTTTATTTAAAAAAACTACACAATTCATTTCTGTTTGAAAAGCACAGTATTTGACAAATGGTTGGTATTAGCCATTGTTTTAAATAAAACTTTTAGTTTTTGACAACATAATATATGAAAACTCAACTTTCTGATTGCTATACTTTGTATAGGAATACATGAGTCAATTTTTAGAATGTTACCCATAGAAAATCTAAACAGAGTAGATTCTCTAGGTAAATCACATACATCACCACCACACAAAAGCAACCAGAGTAAAGCAGGGCCTGCACTCACGCTGTTTAATTTTGTTGATTGCGCATTATTATTACTATTAGTGGTTCTGGGGTTGAACTCAGAGTCTTGAGCTTGGAATGCAGGTGCTTTACCAGTTGAGCCATGCTGTCAGCCCATTTTGTGTTGGTTATTTTTGAGATAGGATCTCATTTTATGCTGGGCTGGCCTGAACTGCAATCCTATTTACACTTCTCACGTAGCTAGGATGACAGGCAGATGGAACTGCACAGAGCCATTGGTTGAGATGGGGTTCTCATGACCTTTTTGTCCAGGTAAGCCTCAAACTTCAATCCTCCCAATATCCACCTCCTATGCAGTTAGGATCACAGGTGTGAGCCACTGTGCCTAGCCTACTTTTGATATTTTAAAGAGAATTTCTACCCCAGAGAATAAAGAAGAAAAACACATTAGCATAGTTGATATATAGCTAACAGTCCTCAGTATGCACATTCAGTTATTAAAACTTAGTAAAATCTGACTTAGTAAATGTCTTACTATTTAAAGGATACTTTTCTATAACTTTTCTTGGCTAGTTCCTTCTCCATTAACTTGAATGAAGAAGAGAACATGGCTTCTGAACAATTACAACACTACCCATTTAAACTTATTTGGTTCACTCAATATAAACAGACCATCTGAGTCAATTTACAGTGCTTTCTCTCAGAGTATTTTGAAAGAAAAAAGAATAAGCAGAATTCAGAAAAGAATCACTTCTGATTTTTGGGAGGCAACGAAAGAATAGGACCATGCAAGGCATTATGAAAGAGCTACACTGACAATTTTGACATGAGAAAGGCAGAGAAAAGGTAAGCAAACAGATTGCAAAGAAGAGAGCACAGCTCAGAAAACACCAAAGGAATACACAGTGTAGGGAAGGTAGGCAACATGTAGGAGGGAAAGAAAACTTTGTAAGGTAGACATGGACCAATTATGAAGGCATTTAAAACTCTGGCCTTCACTCTGAACTTTTTCCATGTTTGATACAATTCTTAAAAGCAGGATTGAAAACAGGAGATGCAGAGAGGCAGAGATCAAGAGGACTGAAGTTTGAGGACAGCCAGGGAAGGGGGTGAGTTCTGTGAAACTCCATCTCAACCAATGAAAGCGGGGTTTGGTGGCCTGTGGCTGTCATCTCAGCTATACTGGTAGTGTAAATAGGAGGATCAAGCAGCCCCCTGCCCCCACACACATAAAAGTGAGACCCTATTCTCTCTTCTAATAATAACTACAGAGAAAGGGCTATAGAAATAGCTTAAGTGGTAGAGTGCCTAGGGAACAAGTGAGAAAGGGATTAAAAAAAAAAAATAATAAAAAGAGATGTCCAAGGAGCCAAGGAGATTAATGGAGGGAGTGGGGGTGGAAGAGCCTTCGAGCAGCAGTATGTGAAAAAAGTATCAAGGCAAATAGAGAAAAGTGGTCACAACTCAAAAATGCTGTTTTAGGGGCATTATCCACACTGGGCAGAGCCATATTGGAGCCTGGGATGAAAAGATAAATCAGTAATACTGGCTCTATTTAAAAATTTAAATATTTTTCTCATCATGGATTTTTGCATTGACTTTGTTTTTTATAAACATTACCTTAAAATATTACTTACTTTTATTACTTACTTTGTTTTTCGAAGTTCTTGGCAGCTCTTAAAATTTACCCTTGAGGTGAGCACCTTATTTTTCTTCCAAATAAAAAGCACACACACACACACACACCCTGACTTAGGATTTTTCAGTTTTACAATGGCAAGGAAGAAATATACATTCTAGTGATTTGCAGTAGGATCCTCTCTTGAAGTGCTAGGCAGCAGCAGTAAACTGCAGCTCCCAGTCAGCCTTGCAATTGTGAGGATAAAAACTAATAGTCTAAAATATGCTGTATTGCCAGCATTTTTTGATATTATGTTTTGCATTTTTGTATTCCATCAGGTGTTAAAAAATGCCCATCTACATGTGTACACAAGATAGTCAACATTTTATTACATGGTAGGCTGTGTTAGATGATTTTGTCAAAGCATATGCTAATGTACTTACATTCTGTGCACATTGAAGGTAGACTAGGCTAAGTCATGATCTTCAGTAGGCTGGGCATATTAAATGGATTTTCTATTTACAATGGTTTTATTAACACCATTGTAAGCCAACAAACATCTGAACAATAATTGACTTGTAGGCTGCAGAACTTAAGCCATTAAAAAATCCAAAAAGATTAATACTTAGTACAGTGTTTAAGAGAACAGAGAAGCCCATAATTTATTTTAAAAAGATTTCCCCTATATTACTTTAATATTATAAAGATAGTATGGCTTTCAGCCTGTATGTTGGAAAGGAGCTTAACTTAAGCAGAACATTCATTTATGTGAAACAGTGATAATGCCAGATAAATAAGGCACTTTAGGACCTAGGTAGAATCTAAGTGGTTTTAGTGGACTAACCAAGTGCAGGATGAGCTCAATGAACTCTTCAACTGAAAGAGTCTAATTAAACATGAAACTTTTAGCTTCCTGTGGATACTGTCTATTTCTCAGGATTACCCAGGGAAATACAAAGTTCTTTGTAAAAGCCCTTCCCACATTTCTGAAACCTTATCAAGGCTCCTTTTTTACCTCTCTTTGGTGGTCGTACATGATACGTTAAGTCATTAATGACCAGCTTAAAGTCATCGAGAAGGAGGAGATCTATCCCTGTGGAGGCAGCAACTCGAACGCCATCTGTAAAAATGTAAATGAAACTTGTTATATGTCTATAATTATTAAAGAATGATTAGGAAAAGTAAGTCCTAAAAAAGATTCTTTAAATTTCCTCTTCCCTTTTGTTTTATTTACCTTCTTGCTTCATCCACCAGTTCTGAGTTAAAGTTTATGTCATCTGCACCCTTTGTGTTTGTGTTTAGGCCAAACCTGAAGATTTAATGGCCTGGTTTTCTTTTTTTTTTAATGGTGATACTGGGGTTTGAACTCAGGGCTTTATGCTTGTTATGCTTGTTAGGCAGGTGCTCTACCACTTGAGGTACCCTGCTAGCCCTTTTTCTGTGATGGGTATTTTTGAGATAGAGCTCACTTTTTTGTTTGCCCGAACCACAATCTTCCTGATCTCTGCCTTTCAAGTAGCTAGGATTATGGGTGGAAGCCACCGGTGGCTAGCAAACAATAAGCTTTTCATGTAACTACATGAAAAATAATGAACAATTACTATACACCTACGTATAGATCTATAGGTGTCAGTTGGAAATCTGGGTCACTTATCAGTATGGGCTTCCCAGTGTTTCCTAAAAATGCAATACTTTCCAGCATAGCCACTGATTAATTGCCAATTAATTCAGTATGGACTTGCATTGCTGGATGAGCTTGGAATACTTGAAGCATAGAAATAAATAAGTACAGAAATGTAGTAATTGTTAACAACTGGTAAATCCAGGTAAAGGGTAAGTGGCTACTTACTGTAGCAGTATTCAAGTTTTCTGTAAGTTTGAAAATTTTCAAAGTAAAAGTGAAAAAAATCAAGGCATTTAAAAATAAACAAATATTATATCAAGTGGAAATTTTTAGTTTCTTGTTTTATATTTTTTTCAAATCACATGCTCTATTTTGGTAAACATTTATGTAAAAAACACAAGCTCTAAAAGGAAGCTCAAATATTTTATATCTCTAGAGATGAGGGCTCAACTTGGAAAAATTTATTCTATAGCCAAAGTAATGATAAAAAGTCTCAATAACATAAAAATGTGATTGCCTGCTCATTCTTGCCTATGGCATTTATGAGTTGCTTTTGAAGGAGACTCCCTGTGCACAGACATTTGCTAAAACTGAAAAATTACTTCCTGAGACCCACTGAGAGAGACCTCATTTTCTCTCCTTTACTTGCTAAGCAAAAAATATTTTCTAACTTAACAGGATGACATTCATTTACAGTGACTCATGTATCTGTTGAGAAATATTTTTTGGGGAAATGAGGAGTTAGGTGAGAATTAAAAATGAAGGTGACTCTACCTGATGAATAGATTGCAACTCTGTCAATTCCCCGGTCCTCTTCTTGCAGTTGTCTCAAAAACACACCAACAGAATCGGAGATAGGTTTGAGCGTGAACTGGCAGCGTTCACGCCGGGATGGTAGCTTCACGGATATCACAGGTAACCCATTTTGATAAACCACTGTCACATCTGAATGAAAAAGACCCAAACCATATGATAATCAGATTTTAAGTTAAAGCCACATTACTACTATTCTTATGTGGAGGTCTATCATTATCTGCCAGTGTGGCTTAAGATATTTTCAGAGAAGGTTTAAGAATATACATGCCCCTTTAGTTTTAGTTAAAGGTTATTCTGGGAACTGACTTATGGAAGATCAAACAGATCAAAAGAATTAATTATTCAGATAGGAAAAAACAAGCAAGGAATTCTCTTCTGAGTAAAGAGATGAAGTATAGTTCTTGATATACAAACCCGGTTCCATTTGGCAAGATTTTATTAAATAGTCAGAGATGCTGGGATAGATGCCACAGTCTGTTGGAGGTGGCTGTTAGGATCCAGAGCTGTTGAGAATCCCTAGGGAATGACATCTTCCTAAAATACACTTATAACTGAGACTCTTACTCAAGGACAATCAACTCATATTCACTGTACAGTATTATATTCACACTGCCTGGTAAGTGAAAACTTCTATTGTACAATATGGACATGTTGTGATATAACCCAAACCAATTCCTTTCATGTTCTTTTGAACCTCTTTCTGAGCTCAGCTAGAAGCCAAACCTCAACTCTTTTGGAATTTACAACAAAAAGTTATGAAGAGAAATATTATAAGCTATATAACTGACAGGATCTTTTCTTTTTTTGTGAGTAAAGCAGGAGAGTTTGTGATAGAAAAATAGCAAAGAGTAGAGCACCCAGAGCTGGGAGGGGTCCCAACAGAGGGTGCCCTGATAGGATCTTTTCTACAATATGGCACAGAATTCCTTACTTCCTTATTTTCTTCCTCAGAAGCCTTTTTTTTTCCTAGTGGTGGTACTGGGGTTTGAACTTAGGGCCTCACACTTGCTAGGCAGGCACTCTATTCACTTGAGCCATTCTGTCATCCCTTTTTGATTGGGTATTTTTTGAGATAGGGGCTTGTGGAACTATTTGGCTGAGCTGGCTTTGAACTGCAAGTCTCCTGATTTTTGCCCCTAAGTAACTAGGATTACATGTTTGAGCCCAGTGCCTGGTTCCTCAGAAGTCTTTTTCTTCTTTTTTTTGTGGTATTAGGCCTTGAACTCAGGACCTAAACCTTGAGCCATCCCACCAGCCCTTTTTTGTGATGGGTTTTTTTAAGAGAGGGTCTTACAAACTATTTACTGTCTTCGAACTATGATCCTCCTGATCACACCCCATTTTGTTTATTCACTCACTGATAGACATTTGGGTTGTTCCTGCTCTTTGGCTACTACGAATAAAGCTTTTATGTGTGGACAAGTTTTCTTGGTATAGTCAGCCCTCCGTGTCTGTGACAGATTCAACCAACAGCATATTGAAGATATTCAGAAAAAGTTATCTGTACCAAACACGTACATTTTTCTTTTTTTAATGTAACACTTCACGAATTTGCATGTCATCATCGTGCATCTTCTTTGTATAGTTCCAATTTTAATATATGTGCTGCAGAAGCAAGCACTGTACATTTTTCTTGCCTTTATTCTCTAAACAACACAGTACAACAACTATTTACATAGGATTTATGTTGCAGTAGGTGTTATAAGCAATCTAAGATGATTTAAAGTATATGGAAGGATGTGTGTAGGTCATGGGCAAATACTACACCATTTTATATAAGGGACTAGAGCATCTGCAGATTTTGGTATCTGCTGGGATTCCTGAAGTAAATTCCCTGCAGATACCAGGGAAGGACTTTCCCATTCTGTTATTTTTTACCTAGTCATATCTTTAAAATGGGCTTCCTATAAGAAGCATACAGTTGTGTCTTGTTATTTTATCTGAACTGACAATGTCTGCCTTTTAACTAGTGTGTATAAAATGTGCATTTAATGTAACTGTCAGTATGACTACGTGTAACATCTTTTTGCTTACTTCTGCTTTGTTTCAACTGTTCTTTTATCTGCTTTCCTCTATTCTTGCTATACATTAGATTATTTATTCTTTATGTTTACATTTAATCTCTACTATAGGCTTTTAATTATACCTTCTTGCTTTTCTGTTTTTTGTTTTTTTCTTGGTCCTGGGGTTTGAACTAAGGCCCTTCACCTTGAGTCACTCCACCAGCTCTTCTTTGTGATTTTTTTTTTTCGATAGGGTCTCACGAACTATTCACCCAGGCTGGCTTCAAACTGCAATCCCCCTAATCTCTCCTTCTTGAGTAGCTAGGATTATAGGCGAGAGCCACCAAGCGCCTGGCTGCTTTTCGATTTTTTAAAGGATCATTCCACAACAGGTGCTGGCAAACTCTTTCTATAAAGGGCTAGACATTGAATATTTTAGACTTTGTAGGTTATAAGATCTCTGTTGCAACTACAAACTGCCACTGAGGTGCAAAGTCAGTCTTAGGTAATACGTAAACAAGTAGGCATGGCTGTTTTCCAACAGACTTTCTTTTAAAAAAATAAGCAATGGGCTGGCATTGGTCTATGATTCATAGTTTGCTGAATCCTGCTCTAGGGCTTATAATTTTCATCTTTAACTTGTTATAGTCAATTTTCAAATAATATCTTATCACTTATGGTATAGTGTAGAGACTTTTACAATATGCTTTCCTTCTCCCTACTTGTATCCTTGTGCTCAGACATTTTACTTCTACATCTTATAAGTCATACATTATTATTACTATTATTATTATTGCTTTGACAAGTGACTATCTTTTGAAGAAATTTTAAAATGGGGAAAATGATCTTTTATATTTACACACATATTTGTCCTCTGATGCTGGTACAGACCCAAATTTCCATCTGGTATTATTTTCCTTTTGTCTGAAAAGCTTCCTTAAACATTTCTTGTTACACAAATGTCTGGCAATGAATTCTTCCCTTTTTTGTATGTCTGAAAAAGTTTTTATTTCATCTTAATCTTTGAGAGATATTTTTACTCTATAAAAAATAATTCTAGCTGACAGTTTTTCTTTTTGATACCTTTTTTTTTTTGGTGGTACTGGGGTTTGAACTGAGGGTTCCATGCTTGCTTAGCAGGGCCTCTACCACCAAAGCCACATCTCCAGCCCTTTTTGCTCTGGTTATTTTGAAGATGCAACTTTTTTGTCCAGGCCAGCCTGGACTGTGATCCTATTTTATGTTTCCCTTTGTTGCTAGATGATAGGCATGCGCCATCATGCCCAGCTTGTCTGTGGTGATAGGGTCTCGTGGCCTTTTTTGCCTGGGCTGGCCTCAAACTGCAATCCCTCCAATCTCAGCCTACCAAGAATGCAGAATTATAGGTGTGAGCCTCAAGTGTCTGTCCTTTGGCAGTTTTGAAGAACTCATGCCAATGTCTGGTTTTGCATAGTATATGATAAAAAATTTGGGCATATTCTGATTTTTGTTCCTCTGCATGTAATATGTCCTTTTTCCTCTGCCTACTTTTCACATTTGCTGTTTATCATGGTTTTCAACAATTTGATTATGATGTGCCTTTGTTTTCTTTATGATTATTCTGCTTGGAAACTGATAAATTTCTTAGATTTGTGGGCTCACTGTTATTAATCAAATCTGGAAAAAAATCTGACAATTACTTAAATATTTTGTCTCCCATCCTTCTTCTTATAGGATTCCAATTATACTTACGTTAGATAATGTGCTACTGTCTTATATATCACTAAGGCTTCCTTCACATATTTCAGTATTTTTCCCCTTTCAGTTTCATTTTGGATAGTTCTGATTGTTATATACATCAATGTCACAGGCCTTTTCTTCCATACTGTCTGATCTGTTACTTCTAGCCACGTGGTTCTTCATTTCAGATATATTTTTCATCTATGTAAGTTTCATTTTTTTATATCTTCCATTTCTTTTCATGTTATGCATGTTTTCCTTTTCCTCCATGAATACAAGGGTCATAGTTTAAATAGCTATATAAACATCCTTGGATATTAATTTCATCATCTCTGTTATTTCTAGGTTGATTTTGGAGGGGTTCTTTTCCTGCTTCTTCATATGCCTAGTCATTTTTGGTTGTTGGTTATACATTCTGAATTTTGCACTGTTAAGTGCTGTATTTCCTTTAAAGACTTTAAAATACTCCTTTAAGACAGAGAATCTTTTATTCTAGGACCAGCTTCCTCAGTTTAGCTCATTTGGGAGTCTCTATTGAATGTCCGCGTATTCAGTGATGTCCCTTTAACTATATGAAGAAAAGTAAAATGATGCCTTGCCCTTGTATGAGCACCTCAATTCATTCACTTTACAGCTCTTGGTAAAATGAATTTCCTAGGAAATTCTCTAGCCTGGTCTTGTGTTTTAGAATTTAGTCAAAGCCTCATGGGATGCTTATGCAGATTTCTGGAACTCTTTGTCTTTATAGCTCCCTTCTCTCTGGATCAGTGTACACAATTTCTAGCTACCTTCCTGTTCACAAATTCTCATTCCTGTTCCGTCTTCTTGAACTTGGAAGCTGCCTCAGGTTGTCTACTGAGGCAGTGTAGGGGTCAACTGTGTTTTCCTTTCCTCTGGAGTCACGGGATTGTGCTGCCTATTTTCCAAAACTGGACAATAGGCTCTTTCTATGTTCTGTGTTAGTTATAACAGGACAGAAATTCCCACAGCAGTCACTAGTCATGGATACATGATTTAAATTTTTACATAAAAACTAAAAGAAAAAAAGTCCAAAATCTCTATTACCTTTTTCCTTCCAAAGGCATACATATGCTTTCTAAGGAAAAACAGGTCAAAATAATAATATACACCTAACACACAGCATGCACTATCTAACATTTGTAACATCTAGATACATTTTAAAAGTTTGTGGACCTTTCTTTTCGAAAAGAATCCTTAGCAATTAATCCAGTGTTGGAAACTTCTGATAATATGAACATTTCTATCTCTTCTGCAGGCAGTAATGATAATAAGATTATAAAATTAGGAGGTTAATTTATTAACCTGGCATTTACCCCAATTATATTCTTTCTATAAGTGAAAAAGACCCATTCAATAAGTAGAGTTGAATTTAAATAAAAGACAGGA